AGGAAATACATAAGATAGAGAGACGAAAATGAATATGATGACAATGATAACTACAGTCTATATTTTTGCAAGCTGCAGTTTGCAAAAATGCAGATTGCATTTTGCAAACTGTAGTTGAGATAAACCGAATTTGACTAGCCATTGAGACGATTGCTTTAAGCTTAAAAGTTTCTACATTACCACTTTTGACACAATTTTAATTCTAGCAAACAAAGTACAAAACAATAAACAGTAAATGCACAAAAAAAAAAATTATAAATGTGAGGAAGGAGTGCAAGAGCGAAAAGAAGAATGTGAAGCAACTAGAAATGACCTTTTTTATAGGCGACCCTCCAGCCAGAGTTTGTGTACCCTGATGAACAACATACTCACTATCAAATAACCAAAAAACGTAAGCAAACAACTGACAAGATTAAAAAAATGAAGAAAATGATTCACCTAAACCGTAGCTTCACTGATTTGCCTCTTAAAGGATGGGGACTTTGATTTAGGGTTCAATAGGTTATGGGTATTGGAGATTTTAAGCTAAAAATTTGATGAAACCAATGATTTTCACTAGATTTTTCTGAATGAAGATGATTAAGTGTAGGGTATTTTGTTTGAGTGAGTAGGTTGGAAGAGTTGAAAATGCTCTAAGTGTAGGTTGGCTTCATTGAGATAACGAAAAATGTTATAGGGGGAAGTTTGCAGCTGAAATTTGAGTGAGAAGTAAAATTGCAAAAATGGTGTGAAGAAGATGAGTGAATGAGGTATTAGGTATTTTTTTTTTTTTTTTTTGGGGGGGGGGGGGGGGGAATTTTGTTGGCGAGTATACAAGTTTTTTCCCGGTTAAGTTTAAGAAAATTGGAATACTTTAAGGTTATAATTTGATTTTAGTAACACTTTTAAGTGTTACCATATTTTAATTTAGTAGAATCAATATTATTTCAATACACACAAATTACCTACGGGTCGAGAGGCACTGCCCCCTGCACCCCTACCCATTGACTGGGCAACGAGACTCCCGAATGCATATGCATGACCCCTTATTGTTGAAGTGGTGGACAACTCCAACACTTAGGAGACGAAACGACACCAAAAAGTGACAAAATCACACCAAGAATTAAGGTGAAGAGTCAAGACGGTGAAATGGCTTTTTCAGGCGAGATTTAGAGTCAACCAAGCTTGCAGAAGGTGGATCTAATCTTAGGGAGTATGAACCAGCCCCTAGGATGTCTAGAAGTTGCCGAAAAGCTAAGAAATTAAAGTCATTGAGAAGATGAATGGTCACAGATAGAGGAAGCTTAATGGTCGTTGGAATCCAGGAAGGTCTTACGTGATGACAGCCGACCGTTGGAGAAGGAAAATGGTCGTCGAAGGTGGAAGTTGGACGGTCTCCGGAAAATGGATGAAGATGGGTGACCTTTTTGGCTTTGCATAACCTTCCATCTTCCTTTTATACTATTTGTAAAACCATTTGAGTTTGGTCCTTACATGAATGAGATGTAACAAAGTAAAGCCCAAATAAGCATTTGAGTTTGGTCCTTACATGAATGAGATGTAACAAAGTAAAGCCCAAATAGTATAATTTGACCCCTAAACAATAAAAATGAGACAAAATCAACCTCATTTCATATTGGCGGGAATAATATTTATTTTTCCGGTAAATAATTGGGTTTATGGTAACACTTATAAAATGTTACTGTATTTTGATTATACGGTAACATTATAAAAAAGTTACTATATTATTAGGTCTATTGTAACACTTTAAAAATGCTACTGTAGATATATTTTTCATAACATTTAAGAAAAAAAGTTACCATTGATATAAAATGTGTTACAAAAAGTAAAAGTGTTACATATAAAAATTGTTATCGTAATATTTTAACATCAAGTGTTACCATAGATAGTCTACGGTAACACTTTAAGGAAAAGTGCTACTGTGCAGTGTTACCTAGGCCATTTTTGTTATAGTGAATGAACTTTTCTAGATCTTTTTTCCTGTTTCCTTTCGCTAGCTGTGATAATGTTTATTAGTCTCAACCAACCTTTTTTTAGATAAAATTGGGACCAGCAAAAGTAATGAGATACAATCCTATCTTTGACACTGTGATATCTGTTAATGCTTAGGGGATCATTGAATACTGGAGCGCTACTACTCTTCAGTGCCCAAAGAGCTAGTATGTGTTTGTATACAATTTTTATTATCATTACAAGCAATTGTATTGTACAAGAAATCTATAATAGTTCAACACGCATTTACGGGTAAAACTCTTGTGATATTTAAATAGATCACTAGTAGCTTATCTTTAGGGTGCATTTGGTTTAGAGAATGTTATATTACTGGAAATGTTGTATTAATGAAGATATAGATTACCTTGAAGATTACTATGAATGTTTAGGGAAATATGTTTGGTTGGTTGGAATAAATTGGTGGGTATGTTATATTAATATGTTTGGTTGGGAGGAATAAATTGGTGGGTATGTTATATTAATATGTTTGGTTGGGAGGAATAAATTGGTGGGTATGTTATATTAATATGTTTGGCTGGGAGGAATAAATTGGTGGGTATGTTATATAATTTACTAAATTGCCCTCCTTTTTAAATATTAATATAATATTATTTTTATTATTATTTTTTGAATAATTTCTTTTAACCCCCTATATTTCAGATTTAGCTAAAACACCCCAGCAACAAAAAAAGTTTAAAACTTAACAAAAACACTCTCATCCATCCCAAGTGTAATAACTCCATTCTACTCAAATACTCATAAAACATGTTCATAATAAAATACATATAAAGTAATATAAAAGGTTGGGCCCAAATTTTTTTCTTTTATTAGATATATANGACCTGGCAAGAGTCCCACATTGGTGGAGAAGGTCTGGGTTAAAGGTATATAACCTTGGGAGTTCTTCAACTTGTTAGTCGCATTTTGGGTTGAAAACCCGGAAACAAAAACATGAAGATTTTGTATCACCTTTTGACAGGTGAGAACCCAGGTTGTTATAAATGGTATTAGAGCCGACCCGCCCTATGATAGGTGGTGATCCTCATACGAGAATGTGTCGCCACAACCTTTAGAACCTCCATAAGAACATAATGTATGTTTAGTTAGAGCAGGTTGCTAAATGGTATTAGAGTCGACACATCCACGATAAATGGTGAGTCATACATCTCCCCAAACGAGTCCCACAACCTCTAGAACCTCCAGAAGAACATAATATATGTTTAATTAGTGTTTAATAATTCATTAGTTATTCTAACTTGAAAGAATTAATAAATTGAAGAAATCATTGAACTACTGGTAATACATAATAAGCCAAATATCTTTTCCAACAATTATGGATGAAATGTCTGTAGTGCTCCTATTAGAGTTTGTAACGGATGGAACATAATTCCTATCCAACAAAATCTTGGTCAAATTTTAAAAGTCAGGTGAGTGAGAATCGGCATGAAAGAATTTATGAAGCTCCATGACAAAGCTTTAAATGCTATAAAAAAAGGTGGGAGTTCTTATAAGGTTTTAGACGATTTAGCTAAAGAAATTTCCAAATTAGAGTTTCTAGTAGAGAAGAATAAATAGGCCTGATCGAATTGGTTTCTTACAATTGATCTAGTGGCTGAATTCTTAAGTTTCAAAAGTAAGAGAGATTAATTATCTCTTTATTATGATCATACAAAAAAGTGACTTATAAAAACATAAAATTTGTGATAGATTTTTTTTTTTTGGATAAACTCGATAATTGTATTAAAGAATAAAGAATAACAACCTAAAGCCGAACCCTTGGACAAGACCAAGAGCCGCGCTACACAAAAGGAGCAAAAGGAAGGAACACCAAACCTTAAGCACAAAAACAAAGCAACCTGACAGACTAAAATTTTGTGATAGATTTTAGACTAAGTCAACATAGATTACATATGTACATATTTTAATATGTCACTATAAATATTATATAATGTTGCTTTCGTTCACAAATATAATCCTACTATAAATAAGCATTAAACTTTATTGTGTGACAGGGATAACTTTTATTATCAGCCCCTAAATATGAGACAAGTGATTAAAATAATAATTAACAAAATGTTGTGTTTCACTATTTATTCTATGACTTTTTATTTATGATGATCATAGAAATAACTTTACCGTTCAAAATAACCATTGAATAAATGGAAACTTGGGAAGCATTCAAGGGTTATTAAGGGAAAGAATGACCCTTTGTAATTTCACCTTAAAATCTTATAAATGGATCACAACCTGTAGAACAAAATGGAACAAGACAACAAGCATCATCTACAACCTTTAGAACCTTAGAAAGAATTAATGTATATTTAATTAGTGTTTATCAAGTCAAATAATAAACCAAGTACTAGTTATTTTTCATCACTTGTCCGTGAAGTAGGAATCTTGAGATTTTACCTAGTCTTAGATTCCTATAAATTTTAATTCAATTAACCATAACATTATCAGAATACGACAATTATTGGGGTATGTAACTAAATTGATCTCGACAGGTATTATATATTTTATAGCTGAGAATGATTTATTGGTCAAGTGTTAGCAGAAAAGTATTTCACTAGTGGCATTCTCGAGTATTGAAAATACAGAATTTAATTTTCTTTTATTTTACATGTTTATTTTTTTTTTAATAACAATAGTAAATAGCCCTAACACTCCCTAAAAATTTCAAGTGATCTATTGGGTATCTAAGCTTGGATTTTCTATCAATTGCTGCTAGAGATCCGTTTGTCATCCCAAGAATCAATTGCATACTCTTGTTATTGTTCCTTTTACCGCAAAACAACAAAATTGATGAACGAATCAATGGTTAACCTGTCATTGTTCGTTCATCAATTAATCCTTATAATTTTGAACCTAATTAATTAGCCGGCAAACATATATTTATATAATGACACTGACTTAGAGGTTTCTATATTTGGAGATCAGTTCTTATTTATATCCATGCAAAAAAAATTTATCTTCACATTCACTTGGCTCTCCACGCATCTACAGTTAAGATGGGAAGAGAGCAAATCCCACCTCAATATCCTCTTCAAATCCTGTCCAAGAAGTTGATAAATCCGGCAATTCCAACCCCTCATAACCTTCGCAACTTGAAAATATCAGCCCTTGATCAATTATATCCTACACTTTATCTCCCCTTCATTTTCTTCTATCCTAATTTCAGTGAAAAAGAATTTCAATTAGCCGGCAAGAAATTGGAGAAATCACTATCCAAAATTTTAACCCTCTTCTATCCTTTAGCAGGAAGGTATATCGATGACAATCTTTCAATAGATTGTAATGATAATGGGATTGAATTTATAGAAACCTTAGTAAATGGCAAGCTTTCTCCATTGCTTGGGAGAGATGTTGATTGCAGGCAGCTTAGCCATTTGATTCCTCACCAATTTGAATCGCCTACTAGTCCTTTATTAGCAATTCAATGTAACATTTTTGAGTGTGGTGGATTAGCTATCGGTTTGTGCATTTCACATAAGATAGTTGATGGATTTTCATTCACTAAGTTTATTGATGCATGGGCTACTTCATGCCGATTAGGGATCCATAAAGTTGATCACCCAAGCTTTGATTTACCTTCCCTTTTGCCCACAAGAGAGACGGTTCCTGAAATTAAGTCTGTTCAACGATTTAATCCCGGATTGAAGACTGCGTCGAGGACGTTTGTCTTCGATGGTTCGGCGATATCTAATCTGAGGAAGATTGCAAAAGAAGGTGGCAAAGAATCACACAAACCGTCAAGGGTGCAATTGGTGACAGCAATTATTTGGAAAGCTCTCATGAGGGTTTGTCAAACTAAACATGGGCAATTGAGGCCCTCTATAATTTGTCATACAATGAACATGAGAGGAAGAACAGCCCTTCCAATCTCAGACGATTGCTGTGGAAACTTGTTCAGGCCGGTGATCGTGAAATTCACACTCGAAAATAAAAGCAATAAGGTGGAGTTTCACCACCTGGTGAGTCTACTTGGTAATGCAATAAGAAGTACAGTTACTGATTGTGCAAAACCACAAAATGGCGATGATTTTTCCTCCATGGTGAGTGATGCCTGGAAAGAGGCTGGTGAGGAATTAAACAAAGATATTGATAAGGTTGATGCTTATGGATTTACTAGTTTGTGCAGGATGCCAATTTATCCTGATTTTGGTTGGGGAATACCTGCTCGAGTGACGCATGTACAATCTGTTGTTGAACTCATTATGCTATTTGATACAAGAGATGGTGATGGAGTTGAGGCATGGATGTCCTTGGATGAAAATGATATGAATGTTTTTCAGCAAGATCCAGATATTATAGCTTTCACTTCCCAGGTCGATCATTAGTAGCCACAAAAATCATTTTAATTATCTGGATAGAAACTCCAGAATAATGGTTACTTACTAAATCTCCATTAATTGCATCTTAATATATTTTTTATCCAGATTTGTATTGTTATGTTGTAATGTTTCTAGTCAGAGATAAAAGTATATATGTTGCATGTTTGTTTATGCATGTATGATCTTAAAATTATGTATAGCGATTAGTTGTTAATCTTTGATCACATTAAAAACTCTGGGAGGTTCATACAAGAGAATTTCACATATATGTTATCAATTCTTGATGTAGAAGTCATGAAATTTTTAATGTACGGACTAAAGGTCAGCTATCAATCGCCAGTTTCACAAAATACAAATCAAAACTAATTATAATGATCATTCACTAAATTTTAGTGTGCATATTAAAAACTCTAATATATCTCTGGCCTTTTAACTTGTACGTTAAAAACTTCAATATGTCTTTGTTTAAGAACTTTTGTGTATATTTATTTCTCTCTTTGACTTTTACACATCCCTATCATAAAATATATGTTTATAAAAATGGATGGAAGATTCAACAAAGAAATGATCAGCTTGTATTGGCCATGCCAGCAATAAAACCTCTCCCAATAGACCCTCAAGAACAGAGCCCCATCCCAATGAATCAAGTATGATCCACAGGCTCGATGCTTAAGTATCATTGCTTGTGGAGCCCATCCTCTTATCACAAGTCCTCTCCCAGCCACACGATCTTCAAATCTGACTGGAACAATGCTCTAATCATCTTCTTTCCCTTATAAATTTGACTCCACTCTTCTCCAATGCCTCACCTAAAGCTTCCATTTGTAGCTTGTTCAATGTGATTTGACTTCCAAATCCCACATGCACCACTGATTTATCCTCGTGGCACGAATCAAGCCATGTGATCACCTCCTCTGTTGGGATTGGAATAGCCTCTCCTCGTTCTGGACCAGCTTTGATTGGTAGCAATGGCCCCACTCCCCAAATACATCATGCTTCATGAACAATTTATCAAATAAATCAAATTTCTCGCTCTCTAGCTCAATAAATGAATTAAAAACCAACCCCCAGCTTTGTTGGTCTTTGATTGTTGTTTCCTTTTGAAAATCGCTTATGTTTCTTATATCATTAGACCAAAAGGAAGACAAAGCATTCGCATTAATCAGACTAAATACGATGCATTTGACGCCCAAATTCAAAACCAAATGACGAGCAAACTGTTGGAATGTGAACACTTTTTGGTAGTTGACGAAGATGTTGCTGAAGAAGAAAAGGTACATATGCAGTGAAGAAGTTGAGACAAGAGAATTAAACTTGTCCAAATGTGGCATGCCACGGCAAAAGAAAAAAGTTTGCAGCGGCGACAGAAGTTGGCTGCAGCAGTGGAAATGTTTGCCACGGAGATCGCAAAGATCTTTAAGATGGTCGTTGCTGTGGCGATAATTCGACAGTAATGCAGTCTTGATTAGGAAGTTCGATTTTGGTTAAATTCTTGTTTTGAGAAGATTTGTTTTAGGATAATTGTTAATTTAGGAAGGATATCTCTTTGAGTTAAAATAGGAGAGTAGAGTTCAAATAGGAAAGTTAATATTGTTTTATTTTAGGATTATTATTCCTTTCCATATTTAAGTAGAAGAATAGACTTTGTTTAGTTTTATTATTGTTATCTCTTTCTATATAAGAGAAGGAAAAAATTCTGTTTTATGTAATTGAGAGAGAGAAGTTAATTAATAAAAGAGTAGAGTCGGATGTTTTTTTTTTCTTTTTTTTTTTTCTGAAAATTTTTGTGTCATCACTACTGTTTATGTTGTTGCCGCTCCCAATTCCAACAATTGGTATTAGAGCACCCTCTCAATTTCCAACCCTTGGTATAGAGCAATTGATTATATTGCTATCAATTCTAACAAATGGTATCAGAACCCTAACTCTTAAGAAACCTATGGGAGATAAACTTGTGAGATGATATGTAACTCCAACAGAAGACTGGAGTGAAGAAGCCAACACTAAAAGTTGTACGCTAAAAGTAGTTGAAAAAAAAGGAGTAAGCATGTAATGTACTTATTATAAACCTTGGTGAATGGGAAGGAGATCGCCTCTATCGCTGGTGCTCTGGCACTCCAAGATGTTGAGCTGTATTCAAATTAATAAAGTGAAGTTTAGTTTTTTTTCTCCAAGTTCATCACGTTTTTGTGCTTGCGATTTGATTTATGCTACTGAATTAAAAAAAAAAAAAAAGCAATAAAGAAATCTGAAAGTAGGTTCTTTTTTTAATGATTTAATGAGGTGGAGTTTTTAGGTAAAAGAATTGCTATTTTTTCAAATTTAACCTATATTATCTTTCGTTTACACAAGAGCAGTCCACCTTCGTAAAAAAGAAAGACCCTGCGTACTTCACACTTCAAATAATTATCAAGACAAACAAAGAGTAAGCCCATTGAATATGACAGTTTAGGTTCCTATTGGATAAGTTCCCGTGCTTTATTTTAAACTTGTTTAAATAAAGTCCACCCATGATGGAGGGACGTGAGAAGTGGAAACTGCCAAAGGCAGTTTCCACGAACCGTTGCCTATAAAAGGAAAAATTTCCTTTTAGAAATGGTATATACACTGTCACTCAAAAAAAACGCAAAAAGAATATACGCTCTCTCTCTCTAGATTTGGAAAACAGAAATACGATTGTGGTTTTTCTTCCGATTACTTTGTTGCTTCAGAGATAAGGAAAGGCACTTTGTTCCAACTATAACAAAGTTGGATAAATGGATTACTTGTGAAATTAAAACAAACAAATTCCAAAAAAAAAAAATTAAGTGTACAGCCACATTCTAAAACTGGGAAGGATCTGATAATCCTTATCCTAAGGTCTTTATCTAACTTGTAATAACCCTAGCAGGGGAACTCCCAGTTTTTGTGATGTCCTTTCGAGGTGAAACTCCTATAGATGCACTAGCTGTCTTTTTTTTTTTTGCACCCCAATTTATGTACTCTTGATAAGTTTTGACATTGAACTTTGATTCCAAATCTAAATACAATTATTATGGTATAATTAATTAAATGAATAGTATGTTCCGAGCATTGAATAAATGCATTATCCAACGTGTAATTTTGTTTAGAAATGGCATCTCTATCTAAGAACATTGTCGTCGAACTTAACAAAGGAGAAAAATTAACGGCGACGATTATGAGATATGGGCATGAAAATCCAATATGTTTTGGAAGAACAAGATGTCTGAAGCTCTTACTACAAAACATGGAAGAGCCTGAAGAGGGAGTCACGGCTCAACATAGACGAGACCGTGCCGCTATGACATATGGAAGAAGAAGAATTCACTGCTCGATCAACTTTGTTGAGCAGCATGGACAATGATTCATGAAGAAGTACGGGATATGAATTAGCAAAGGACATGTGGTCCGCACTTGCTACAAAGTTTGGCGGTACGTCCATTACCAAACTCGGTCACTCACTATCAAGTTTGACACATATAAGAAAAAGCCTGAACATACTATGAAAGTACATTTACGGCATTATCAAACATGATAAGTGAGTTAAGAGATGCAGGTCACGTCCTAAACAGAACAACAGGTTCAAGCTGTCATAAGATCATTGCCTCAAAATTGGGAACATATGAAAATACACTATCCACAATGAGGGCATCAGAAATTTAGAAGATGTCATACGCCATTTGGAACTGGAAGAAGATCGCCTTAATGCGAGTAGGCAAATACTGATGTGTACATGGCTGGTTCCAGTTCACATGGTGGGAAGGGATTAAACGAAATTCTAAGGGGATCCCAAAGAAAAGGCAATACTGATAAGGTTCAAGGGAAGAAGATAAAGTTCTTCAAACACGGAAAAGGAAAGCATCCTACAGGAAGAGAAATATGGCAAAGGTGAAATGCTATAATGTGGTAACAATGGACATTTTGCTCGCAATTGTAGCGAGCCGAAGAAGGTAAATTACTTTTTGCACAAGTAAGTTATATAAATGTTTCCAGTTCTGTTTTTCTAACTGAATCTCATCCTTTGTGGACTGTAGATTCAGCAGCAACAGACCACATAGCGAAAGACAGGAGTGCTTTCGTAGATTTTCGACGAATACCGGGAAACAAAATGGATATATGTAGAACAATTCAAAAGTGGAAGTCAAAGGGATCGGCACATGCAAATTGATCATGCGTGGAGGGTCGAATCCTATACCTACATGACGTGTTATATGCACCGCGAATTCGTCGAAATTTGATTTCCGTGTTAGAACTGATTAATCTTGGTTTTAATTTAAACTTTTCAGTACTAGTGTCCATTTATTTTTGGACACAACATACTATGGGTGTGGTTATATTTCGGATGGTTTTATAGTACTTGACGTTGCTTATAATATAGTAATGTTTGTTTTTTCTTATTACATCTTAATAAGATGATGTGAAATATGGCATGCAAGGCTTGGCCATATTGGCCAACACAGAATGATATCCTAGCAAGAGAAGGCTTGTTAGGATCCTTAACAAAAGTAGACTTGACTACTTGTGAACATTGCCTAGCTGGAAAAACAGCAAGAAAACCATTTGGAAAAGCGATAAGAGCTGAAGTTCATTGCAACTAATTCATTCTGACATATGTGGTCCAATGAATGTGAGGGCTAGACATGGGGCTGTTTATTTCATCACATTGATAGATGATTTCACTCGATATGGTTATGTTTCTTGATTTCTCAAAAATCAGAAGCTTTAGAAGCTTTCAGAAGTTAAAAACTTAGTTGAGAATCAATTAGATAAAAAGATAAAAGTTCTGCGAACCGATCGAGGTCGTGAATATTTATCTGATCAGTTCAGAAATTTTTGTGATGAATGGGAATAGAACATCAATTACTATTCCAAGAACTCCGCAACAAAATGGTGTTGCAGAACGAAGAAACAGAACCCTACTTGAGATGGTGAGGTCTATGATGACATAAACAAACTTGCCCATCACTTTTGGGGTGATGCCTTATTGACTGCACATATATCCTCAA